TGTATGTCACAGCTGGTCTGACTATCCAGACACCGTATTTCAGCTCTCAGGAGGAGCATCTCTAAAACTGTGTGCCTGAAGTTTCCCTTATTACGTAAAACTCCTTATGTCTTGTGTTCTTAAGATAAACAAGTCGCAGATAAAAACATCCCAAACTTTGGCAAAAGCAAGGCACTCAGATACCATGGGGTTTAATTAGCCTCAGGCATTTAAATTTATTGCACTACACAAAAATTTAAGCCTTAGCTTTTTTCCAATACTTTTTCTAAGATAAATAAAGCAGCAAATTTTTATTAACGCATTAAGGTGATCAAGCATCTCACAGTAGTAAAATATTCCAATATTCTGGACGTATAGAGCTCTGCACCTTCCTCTCCCTTTCGGTCTAAGCGTGGCTCTAAAAGCATCCTTAAATTAGACCTTGTTTTGTCATAGTAGCCTTCCCCTCTCTGTGTGGTAGTCACAGAGGTTCTTCAGGCTGTAAGAGAGACCTCCTTCTTTCCATGTCAGCAGCAGTCCCTGTCACCTCAGAGCTGTAGGGCTACATCATTATCATGAGGGGTGGTCAACTTAACACCCACCTAGACGACATGAATCAACAGTGCCAGATTGCTGCCTTAGTGGAGTTGGCAATTCTGAATAGCTAAAGGTTTCGGAGGGAAATACTCTCATTTGGACTTTTCTGTTTGAAAAGTGCTTATGGACTTTGTATGTCCTCCTAAAGCCTAATGTAAAACAAAAACTAACATGTCAGACCTACAGAATTTTCAGTTTCCCTCTAGAACCTGGAACAAGTGGGTGTAAGCTTAAAACCAGAAAGTAAGATCTGTTTCTGGGCTTCATCTCTCAGCTATTTATCGACTATTTAACATTTCAAAAACAAAATAAAACCCAAACAAGGCAACACATTGCACAGAGCCTCCTTTCATGTAACTGCAGAAGCACTAATGACTGTGAAAGAGGAAACAATCAAAAACCCAAGAAAAACCCCTAGAGTTTTCCCATTTCCAAAAATAAAATGGAACTGCTATCTGCAATGAAGTTTTTAATTTAGAATTTTGTAATCAAAATGTGTATAGGAAACTTTCCCATGCTGCCCAAGGGAAACATTTTCAAAGGGAAACCAATTCCTATGTGGTACACCTGATAAAAGAGGACGACGAGAGAAAACAAAGGCTGCAGCTCTTCTCTGTACCCGCTCTTTACTATTGTGCTTACCGAATGTCCTTCTGCTGACATTTAAGACAAAAAGGAAGAACATGAAAGGCCTGGGAAAAAGGAAGCAAGGCAGCAAAATGTTTATCATGCGAAATCAGAAGGTCATTGGCAATAAAACACACTGCACTGACAGAGCACTGGGACTAGATGATACCAGCCTTTCTATGATTTAACACAATTGAAAAATGAAGATCAAATGAAGCCCTAAAACTTTCTCCTTCATCTGATATGAAAAATCAGATGTGTTACTGCTGGCAACAGCTGCAGTTTGTTGCTCGGTCTAGAACAGGCAAAAAAACCCCAAGCAGTAACATAGTTTCTCAGCAACTGCCTTCAGCTTTATACTAGCCTACCGAGTTCCAGCGAACACACTTCCACCACACCTCAGCTGCAGCTTGTTTTTAGCCATGAAACCCCTGTGACCCCAGACTGAGCTGTAGAAGGCTGCCTACCCCCAGTCACAGGATGTGGAGGAATTGGTGGGAGGGTGACTGGAGACAGCCGGTAACATGTTCCTGCCTTCTGAGATGATGTTGTGGTTTAACCTCAGTCGGCAACTGAGCACCACGCAGCCGCTCGCTCACTCCTCCCCCCCACCTCCCGGTGGGATGGGGGAGAGAATTGGAAGAGTAGAAGTGAGAAAAACTCGTGGGTTGAGATAAAAACAGTTTAATAATTGAAATAAAATAATAATAGCAATAATAATAATGTAATAATAATAATTAATAATAATAATAGTAATAATACACAAAGCAAGTGATGCACAGTGCAATTGCTCACCACCCGCCGACCGATGCCCAGCCAGTCCCCGAGCAGCCG